GTTCACAGTTTACGTTACATAGATGTGTGGACGTTGTAGGCGTGTCCTTTGACAAGTTCAGATCATTTTCAAATTCTTATGCAATTTGTAGGCGATATCTTCAGGTTTTCGGAGGGATTCTACACAGTTCTGCAACGGACAGATGGACAGACGAACGTTCAGACATACTTAGATTTCGATTTTGAAACAGGCCAACAATTTATAGAATAATGGAGTTTTTGAAGCTTATTTCTTCGTGTTATAAAAATATTGGAAAAGAATTAAGTTCTAATACACGATAGTAGTGCGTAAGCGAGGTTAGTTTTTCCCATTTTTGTACAGGTTTTACGGCAGCACTTACACGATATACGTCAAATTTTTGTATATAGATCTGCTGCAGTTTATGAGAAAAAAACCAATTTCTTTCTCCTTTTGAAAACCGCAGGTTTTCTCAATGCGTCTCGCGATTTGTCCATTTTCAATATCAACCTGCGTGCAAGAGTTTCCAATGTTTCTGAGAGATGGGCACACCGATATGTTCAAATCGATGCAGAATATGATGCCGATCAAGTATGTAAACAGTTTGATGGGTCTCTGAAGCTTCCATCTCGACGTTGCAAATGTATTGATAAAATGAATATACCCCCCGCATCCTTCGGTGATGGGTGTAAAATTCAGCTTAACAAATACACCGAAAAATGTTGTACCCATTTTACGTTTGTTGTAGTTATAGTTGTTGCTTTTTGTTCATTTTTAATATCAGCACTGGCTTAAAGGTTGTTTTACAGTATAACATTTTTCCTGCTTGTGCTGGATATCTTGTTATTTTTAACTTGTCAGTGTGTTCACGTACGAGAGCATACGTCCTGACATAAGCACATATTTATATGTATTGCCAGTCAGTTAAGTTTCGCCAACAGCCATATCAATGATCTACAGGTGCATTACCTCTCAAACCATTACAGCTCGTAACATATTCATGGTAATATAAGCATCAACCAAGAGCTATGGTAAAATTTAACCTTTACGTAAACATAAAATGTTAGTATACCGCACGAGCGAACACTTTTCTCTCTTAGATATTTTTCATTTTGTTTTTTGATTTTTTTTCTTTTTAGTTTACAAACTAAACAGCAACATAACGTAAATTTTTGTATATAAAGAAAAAAATCTGGTTGCTCATCCACAATCATCCAAGTATATATGTAAGTATGTATGTATGTATGTATGCATGTATGTAAATAAAAGTACATTTTTTCGTTTTCTCTTTATACAACTATTAAAAATTCTTGGTATGTGTAGCATAATTTTGCTTATGGGATTTTAATGGTAACACGAAATGCTAAACAGAAAAGTTTTCTTTTTTCTTATCATTAATTTCACTTTCATGTTGACAAACGCGATGAAATTTAAGCACCGTATTGTTATTGCTGCTTTGTTTTTCTTATTCGAAAATTGCTTTTATTTTATATTTAAGGAAAAAAAGTTGATTAAATGTCGAGAAGTTTATAAGCTGTGAAATAAACGCTGAATAAGGTAAATATATAAATGGTATATGGAATCTATTGCATCATTGCATCATTGAAAGCTCTTCTTCCTCTTCATCTTCTTTACTAGAAATCAAAAAATCAACAATAAATTCCCAGTGACCGTGTGACAATTCTATTATTGATAGATACGATTTGAAGTTTCATCCGTGAAGCTTCATATTGTCTGCGTTACACATAAACAAAAGGTGTTACCCTACACTTTCTTTCTGCAGAACAAAATGCTATTTAATTATTGAGGAACAATATGCTATGGCCGATCTACGCTCATCGGCATACCAAGTATTCCTATCAAGACTATTTGTTTATTCCTGGGATTAGCGCGAAAGCATCACAAAGAATCTACGTAATTGTTGTCCTTTCACAGTAACTACTAAAATACTATTAGTTTTATTATGCCCATCACCGAAGGATGAGGGACATATTCATTTCGGCAAATAGTTTGCAATGCTTTAGAGATCCCGCAAAGCATATATACTCTTGGTCGGCGTCAAATTCTGCATCGCATGTCTGTCTGCTCGTCTAGTTAATGTCTGTTGTAATCATTGGCTGTAATCCTGGCTGCAAAAATGAAGCTGCCGGCTCCAAATTTTGCAAAGCCATTGGAAGTTCTTGCACGCAGATTGGCATTGAAAATGGGTCAAATTGGTCGAAGGACACCGTACTACGTAAAGTGAGGATACTTTCTTTATTCAAGAGGAATAAAAAATTGGTTTTTGCTAATTTTTACTATTGTTATGATACTATAGTACCTGTACGAAAATGGAACAAATTGACCACGCCTATCCAATATTGTAGTATATCGAAAGTCAGTTTTTTTTCAATATCTTTATGACGCGAAGAAGCTAGCTTTAAAAACCCCATAAAGTATATAAGTTTTAGGCCAGCTATAGACTCGATATGCATATAAGCAGGTCCGTTTGTCTGTCTGGCCAACTAACCAGTGTCTGTGGAAAACATTTTTGCGCTCGCAAAAAGGAAGATGTGCGTAAAATTGTGCAAAAGAGTTTGAAAATTGCCAAAACCAATAGATCTGTAAACAGTTCAGTACTGAAGAAAAATTAGTGCATTTTATGCACTTACTTTAGAGAGCAAGTATTTAAGCGAAGACTTGACGTGCATACATTTCTTATATCAATAATACTGCATTGAAAAGGTTGAAATTTAGTTGACAAAAGAATTTTCTACTGCGTAAAAAAGCATAATATATATATATATATATATGAACCGAACAGCATTGTTGTGAGAAAAGAAAATACACACACCCAAGCTTATAGAAAACGCTCGTAAATGACGTATTCGCTGTTTCTCAGTTTCTATGCATTTTTTTGCTAAGGTTTTTTTCTACTTGAAATTTCTCAGTGAAATGTGGTGTAAACGCAGGGGTGGCAGGCATGCCAAACAACTTATAAAATGCATTAATAAATTAAGTAATAAAACCTAACTATAAAGTGGTTATGGTAGAAGTGAAAAATGAGTGAAGGAAACCCTTAAATTAAATTTGGTAAATTGCATGTAATAGTCGAGTGGCAATTTAATGAATTTTTTTTTTAATTTTTGTTTTTACTTAAATGCTTGATTGCATTTTATATGGTGGCTCCAATTAAATAGAAAATTTTAGTTTAATATTTAAAAAATATTCAAAATATTTAAGTCAAGTATGTTGTATGCTTTAAGAGTGGGTGGAGATCATATTAAATAATTTAATATATAAATGTGTTAAACCTAGCGGCCTCGTAAGTTTATATTATTCGCTTGAAGTGCAAAAGAAAGTTTCAAACTTTCAAATGAAATACACCATAAAAAGGAGTACTAACTTCAGTCGGACAAGGCCTGCCCTACACTTCTTCGCCTAATAGATGCTTAGGCGTTTATGCAAGACTAGGTTAAAATATTGGCTCATTCGATAGCCATACGTTTCCTGCAACATTTGTCAAACTATTCCGCCCATGTAACTAAATAAATATTTGCGCCTCCTTGGTTTGCTTTAGCAGACTTCCAGGCGCTTAACACTTCATTCGATTATCTGTTATTCTGCTTCTTTGCCCAACCGTCCATTTATCCAGTTCATGGCTCGTTCATTCATTTCTTCCTTTCATCCATTTACTCTCACATATGTTCACCAATTGACATGTTCTCGCCTGCTTGTCCATCTACATGGCTATATATTCGTCTATTTATGACTCTATTTTTTTCTATCCCTTTTTAGATCGATTTATCCAGAATAACTAAAAACTAAAACGTCAAAAATGTTAACTGAAAATCGAAAAAACATTTGGTTGACAACTTATTTATGGCGACTTCGATTTAAGATTTCAGCAGCCGTCGCAATCATGCAAGAACCTATAAAAGCAGATTTTCATTTATTTGTTTAAAAAGTGTACTCATAAGACAAAACTAGTGCACACAAGAATTTGGTTTTCGGGTATCTCTGAAAACATGTTAGTCTATTGCTCAAATGCTCTTACCCTCGAAAGCTAAGATGAATGCTTAAAATTTGGAAACAAATGCAGTTGTTAATGTATCTTTTCATGAGCAGCGACCGTTCGCAGTATGGAACTTGGGGTCTGAATATGCCGCAATAAAATAGTTTTAAGCGACCTGCCGCGGTTATGGATAAACTACAAATGTTATAAATGATGAGTATTTACTATTACTTTTAAGATGATTTTAGTTTAGTTACCCGGTGTTGTTCCCAAACATTCTTAATCATTCATTCATTTATTCATTTTAAAATAATTTCACTTTAAGAAGTATTCTGAGTTACCTGTTCTTTTTTTACATATACCCTATCAATTGTAGTTTCACAAGGAATAGCCGAAATTGTAAATCATGTAATTTTAATGCATTCGTTTGCAAAAAATGTTGTAATTCATTCCATAGAGGATTTGCAGACCAGATCAGCGTGAATCGCAGAATTCACTTAATAATGTCTGTCCCTGTTAGCAGTTACGATTGCGATTTCAAAAGATGAAGAAGAAACTTTCTACTCAGTGTGGTCAATCAAAGTTCGAAAGTCGCTCGACGAGGGAACCACAGCGTTTTACGTTGCTTTCGTTCCGAAAGGAGCTTCTCGTAGAACGAAACCGTTTGTGATCATCGGTGCGTGTATAATAAAAAAACTCTATCGAGGAGGGAAGGATCTTAAAGGAGAACCATTAACTTAAAATGCAAACGCGATGTCAGGTTTGCTCGATAAGGAGAACCGTAAATCGATCCCGACTCATGAGAAACAAAAAAAAAAAAAAATTATCCATAAAGTGTTGCTAATCGTATAATAAATACTATATAACATTTTGAATTATGAACTATGAGTTATGGTCGATATTATTGAATAAAAGAAACTTTAGTTCTTTTTGTAATCGATTGTAGTACGCAAGTTACTTGAGTAAATTAACTGATTCGACTCATTTCGAATATCTCTCTTCTTCTTTTTAATTCTTTTCTTTTGCGAAGAATATTGATATCGCTTACCATTTTCTGCCATCTTTGTTATTTTCTGCATGTGTCGACAAAATGTTTCGTATTCACTGTTTGTCGGTGCTTCCGTTGTTTTTACTGCATGCATATGCTTAGTAAACGCTCCAACAATAGCCGCCATACGATCGAATGCACTCACATTTATATCACCGTTCGGTAATCTGCAATTGCATTTAAGAAAGCAAACGACATAAAAGCAATGGAAATTTACACATTCGTTGGAATATTTTTAAATTCATAAAAATACAATTTTTATACGTCTATATAATAAAACGAAGAGAGTTTATTTTATACCCTCTTCACTCATACCTCCACATGTGCTCTATACGTAACGCATGTAATAGACTTGAGTATGTATAATCTTGATCGGTGTAAGAATTTAATCAGACCGGGTTTTGTTCTTCGAGAGTTGCAAATTTCACAATCGGAAAACTGTAGATGGATATCTGAAGCTTATCTCATATATTCTTAACGTGTCTTCACAACACAAACTGCAATGAACGTGACGAACCCAAAACGGTTGAAAAAATGTACCAAACTAGTGGAGAAAAAGCAAAAATGCTATAGTGGGGCAAAGCCCACCATTGAGTACACTACATCACCTCGCTTAATACAGTTACTCTTATGACGACTTTCCAACATTAGGTGTGATTTGGCAAATGGTTAAAAAAGTAAACCGATCCGAACAATTTTTAATAGGATTCGTTCTTGAGCGAAAACATGACTGTGCAGTAGATTGTATTAAAATATCTCAAAAATTGTGACCCGTAGGTTGAACACAAGAAAACAGGACGGACAGACGAGCCAATAAACTTATATCAATTGAGAAAGTGAATCGAAGTAATCGGTTTAATAAAGGATGTGATTGTGTCAAGTCCTTTTAAGTGTTGCATAAATCCGCCCAATTTTAATATATCACAAGTACGGTAGAGTATAAAACAGAGAAAAGATACATGTCTAACCTATATGAAGTGTATAAAATTTCAATTGCTTAAGCGTAAAGTTACGTTCTAAATGTGATGGCTTTTATCATGAGAGCAGCTATTATAAGACTAAATGACTAGCACGCGGCTTCTTTCTGATAATAAACATTGTCTATGAAATCAACTGTAAAAATCATAGGCCGATGATTAAAAAGGGCTATCAACAAATCATGCAGCAATTGAGAAACTTATATTCGGCCACGAATTCTTCTGCTTCTGGATGCTGCAAACGGTTTGCAAAAAAATTTAAATTTAAATAACGTTTTTGGTCGTTTCCACTTTTGTTAAGATGCTACAGGAGCACCCATAGAGTACGAATGCAAACTTTGATCTTTGTAACCGCCGTGTATAAGAAATGAGCAAAAAATCAACATTTTTTGATTTTTGTAAACACAGATGGCCCCGGGTTATGTAGGTTTGATCGGCATGGCTCAATTACAAAGAGAGACCGACCGGGTGGTTTAGAATTTGATTTCTTTTCAAGCGGAAGACATCCCTACCAAAGTGATGTCTCTATTATCTCAGCCTCTTACGAGGAGAAATAGTGTAAATTAAGTTAATTATGATGCTAATTTTTAAACTCTTCTTTATTCCCCCCCAACTATTTCATTATTCCCCCAAATTTCATACCAAAGTGAAAAACATCTTTGCCTTTATTTGCGTGAATTTTTTTTTCGTAAAAATTAATGAATTGCTGAACGTTACGTCTCGTACTGCCTTCGAGACATTTCCATTGGAAATTTCTTTAAAATATTGTGTATTTGCTTTCTCGAAACATTTTAGTTCCAATTTTCTTGTTGGTCTAAATATGTTTAAAAAATTTTATCTTCTCTTTCTTATTTTTTTTTTTTTTTTTAATACCAATAAACGGAATAGTTTATCGAATTGCCTATTATGCTCTACATACCTATGCATGTCCCCAAGGAGGTGTTAAGAAATTTTTGTATACTAAAGAAGAATTTTTTCGTAATACTGAATAGTTTTACAGCAATAAAATGTTTAAAATTTTACTAGTTTACACTTACTTCAAAGAGAAGCAACGAAGGAAAGTAAAGCAAACTAAGACAACGCATAACTGCTAGTACTTTTTGCATGGTTATCTTCTTATTTCTACTGTTATTTTATTTTATTTTTTTTTTTAAGAAATAAAAATATATAAATACCTAGTTTAAAAGTGTATTATGACTGCAAGGAGTTTCAGGTGAAACTTAAGATTACATATATATACATGGATCTAAAAATGGTAGTTGAAACAAATAAGTGCAACATAATAATAAAAATAATAACAACAACTGCAGCAATAGTAAAAAGTGTATTTCTATTGGAACCCCTGAAGCATATACACAAAATGCTTAGGAATATAAAATGTTTGCACTAAAACAAAATTTAAAAAGAAAATGCAGTCACGTGCTAGCATCTCATACCTCAATGCTTTATCGGAATGGTCTACGAAAAGAATGCTTTCGAATGAGCTTAATACGATAAGAATAGAAAGAAAATATTTAAAAGAAAAGATTGCTACGGGAGGAACACTGTATCCAAAATTTCGAAGAATCTCTGATACCCATCATCTCAAGCACATCAAACAAATATATGCCGGACAGTATTCGTTGATTGCCATCGATAAATATTTATCAGAAATTTTAAACCAATATCTTCCGTATGTTCTCACTTATGGATCATAGGGAGCTTTCGTTGTGATTGTCGGAATTTGAGGAGAAATATTAAAATATGTTAGTGCAATTTCAATCCTCACTCCTATTTTCATGAAGGAAAGGGTGAAGGCGAGCTCAATTAGGTAACAGAATAGATAGTCGGGACTAACTAGTTGTCTTGCAATCATCAAATATGTATATATGGTTTTTCAAGTGGCAAGATTCTATTCCACGCACTGTCATACACCATAACGCTTCGATAGAAAGATGAAATTAGCTTAGAACTAGAATTTATCTTGTTAAGAAAGTTTCTAGGAGTAAATGTATACGATAGACTTAGTAGGTTATTTGCTTGAATCAACATAATTTAGTAAAAGAGATTTACTGGACTTTGAATAGAAAGAAGTTAGATATTCACCATGCAATACGATATTTTTTTATTATATCGATCTGTTCAGAGTCACTTTATGAACCAGAATCACTTGCTAAATCGATCCGAGCTTGCCTGTCCCTCTGTCCATCTTGTTTTCTTTTGTTCAGCATAGACACCACAATTTTGGAGACATTTCGATGCAATTTTGTATGGTAATATATTTCAGTCTAAGTATGAAAATGGTTTCGATCGATTCAATTTTTCGACCACATCCCATATAAACCCTGGTTTTTGAAAGCCCTTGTGTGAGTAACTGTAGAAGGGGGTAGGCTGGCCATGGTCCACCGGAGTGATTTTCTTGCCGTATTATTATATTATATCATTATAAGTTATTATTATATGTCAAAGACGCTACTATTAGTTTGATATTCATTAACACGTTCTCTGTCAAGCAGCCACCCCCACGTCTCCTATACCTGTTTTCGGTACATGTTAGCAAATTTAATAATTCTAAATGATGAATACCTTTATCGTTACAAGTCTCAAAGAGTGTTGTGAACACCATCCAAATCGCATAACATAGCAGTAACAATAATACATTTTAAGATTCTAATATCTTGAAGTGTACTGAAAACAGCACATGCTTATTACTTACATAATGGCAAGGAGGAATGACTAAGTGGCCGGAAGGACATAGTCATGTTTATGATGTCACCTTCTTTCCAATGTTACAAATCGGACCAAGTGTTAAATTCTACTCTTGTTATCATGTAGCGCTTATAAAAATACAATAAAATAAAAATAAATAAAGAAGTTATGTTAAGAAAACACAACAGAAATCAAAGGGAGCTTCCTACGAGAGTTTGTGTAAGACTTCTCAACTTGACTTCCTTTAAATAAACGTTCGACATTCATTGGTTAGTACATTAAAAGCATGCACTAAACAATGCCATTTTCTTTAGTCAATTGCTATCTTTAGTCAATATCGGAGAATACCAATGTCAATAAGATTCTCGTAACTGAAAGAGAGGTGAAAAAGAGAAAAAAGAAAATGCTTTGTTTGTCTGCCGAATAAAGATAAGGGATTTTTTCATTCTTTAAAAATTTAAGTTTATACACGACATCAAACCATCACACAAGTTACTCAGGCTTATAAATTATATCATTTATTCACTATTTCCCTATACCTGTGCGCACATGTACATAGTTGTGTGCATATTTCGTTTGTAGTCTTACATAAACATGGTAATAAAGGACTTGTTGGAGAAATGTAGGTATTCATGAATGCAAATGCAAGAATTTATTGATATATTAACAATGACATCAACTTCACAATACCAATTCTAACATACTCTTATTGTAAACTCATTGTTATTTTGTTAAAGTTCTTCTATTTTTATCTTTGTATATATAAGCATTGTTGGGGGTATTTTCAAAATCATTAAATTCTAACTTCTAGTTATTTTTCTACCTCTGTACGTGCCGAGCTTCTTTTGCACAAGCACCAAAGATGTCTTTCCGTTTATGACTGACAAATTTTCGGTTACATTTATGCAATTGTCTGCACTTTGCAATTGTCTTGTATTTGACAACCAAATACCTGAGGATGTTTTAATAACTATTATTGTATGCTATATTTAACAATGTAACGCACTGTTAACATAACATAAGTTTGCTTGTAAGTAAAGGGGCGAACATGTGTAAAAGTTTTCCATTCTAAGCAATAAGAATGCGGCACATTGTAACTATTATACCTTAACGGATGCTTAAAGAATATCAAAAAAAAAAAAAAAAAATCCATAGAACTTATTCATTACCAAACTAAAACTTTAAACTTGTTTTATATAATGGCAGGAAAAGAATAAAATAATGAATTAAAATAAAAAAATAAATTTTTTTCAAAATTTAAATAACAAGTTACATGTGCAGTTCGAAGTTAGTTGACTCCTTTCATTTAAACAAATTTCTCGGAGAGTTTAAAGAAATTTATCGCTACATAGAACAAAAAACGAAGAAGGCGAAAGGGAAACCTGGGATTAAATATTCTGAGCTGCCATAATGGTGAGTGGATAAAAGTCGTGATTACCAAGTCGGTGTTCCTCGGATTTTGATACTCATCCACTCTTCCAGTCTTTCCTCCTTTCCTTCTT